TGGAGGAAATTTCAAGGCAGCCCAACGTTCAGGCTGTGACCTGAGTATTGTTGGCAACTTTTAGTGAGATCTGTAGTGAAAATCAGGAGCAAGGGACCATTTAAAAAGTCTGCAGTTTTTCCTCAAAGGAAGTGCCTGCAAAGTTGGAGTCTTGGAGAGCATGGTTGTTAAAAAAATTAGCACTAAAAATAAGCCAAATACTCTGTATCAGGACAATAGTAAAGAAGGCTCAAGAGCATCTCAGGAATCAACAACATACTACCCTTCAAATTCTAAAGTAGTACTCAGGGTACAAGACATAAACCAGCCAAGCACGGTGGCCCACATCTATAATCCCAGCACTCAGAAGGCTGAGGCAGGAGGATTGCCATGAGTTGTAGGCCAGCCTGAGCTACATAATGAGTTCAAGGCCAGGTTGAACAATGTAGTGAGATCTTGTCTCAGAAACAATACAAAACAAAAGGACATAAACCAAGAAGATTCTTCTATAATCATTCCTTCTATTTCTCAGATGTTCTAGTCATCCCTATCCTGGATCCCTGTCTGTACCATGGAATCTGCTCCAACACCCTCACCTTAAAGAGGTAGAAACAGAGGCTCAGAGAGATGTGGAGACTTGTTCCAAGTCACACCAAGATCCCGCGCCCACACACACAAGAACTAAGAACTCTGATACCTGCCCAGGGCTCTTTCTCCACAAAGTCTGAGAGAAAAGGGTAGGAAGGTGAATGAGCATCAGCCCCACAAGTGCTTTCTACGTTGCAGACCCAGGGCCTTCCTGGCCCAAGCAGTGAGACATCCTACTCTTCCATTTTAAACGGACTGAGGATTAAACCAGACTTTTCCTTCTCCCTCTGCTGCTGAGTACAATGGCACAAAGCACCCAACTGAGGGGAGAGCTGTTAAAAGGAGTAAATGGATTTTCCCTCATTAGATTCTACTTTCCCCAAGCCAGGAAGACACCAGCCCTCCCATCTTACATTCCAACCCCTGAGTACCTTGCCCCTTACCCACTGATTCTGATCTCAGCTGCAGAAGGATCTTAACTTGTATGTCATTATGTGAATTTGGCCACTACCAAAATCCTAACGGTGTGGAGGGTAAAGAAATACCTCCCCCAAGCCATGGGACAATTTTTCTGCCATCTGCAAAACTGCAGCCCCATCTCCTACTTTGCTGAGCCTGCTCTGCATGTATTGCTCACCCCCTCGAACAACATCCTCAAAAGGCAAAGAATGGAAAGCACCCATCTCCTAATTCTACAAGCATTCAGGGAAAGGGTGATATAGAAACGGTAGATATGGGAGTGAGAAAACAGAGGACTCGAAGAGCCATCACCAACCCAGCCACGTTCTCACAAAGTGCTGGCCACTGCAAGTGCACTGTCAGAAGCTTGGAGACTTTCCAACTTCTGAGGCCACGAGAGGCAGAGTCATCATTCCTGATCACACAGGACTTTGCAGAACATTTTGACCTCGGCACATGTGATGCCTCGGCAGGGAGGCATGACATAAACCATCTCAGGGTACAAGACATAAACCAGCCAAGCACGGACTCACCTGCTTTTGGATGATGACATTTTGCTGCGTCAAGGTGATTTGCTCAGCAAAAGAGCAACAGGCTCTCGCCTGAAAATCAGAAATAGGAGGTGAACACACAGCACCTGGACAACACATTTAAGGATTACAATGTGTCTTTCTTTTTTCAAAGATTGCAAAAATTCATAAGGCGGAAAGGAATCTGAATCATTCTATAGTCAAATTTCTATAGTCAAATTTAATTGTGTCATAAGGAATCCAGAGAAAGACCTAGAGTGTGTACCTTAGAATCAGTCTGTCAAATTTCCCTGCCCCTCTCCTCCAGGTGCCAGCTCTTTGTCTTTGCACTTCAAAGCAGAACATCATTAAGTCAAGCACTCAGAAAACAACAAGAGTTCTTGCCCAGAATTTTTAAACTATTTTTGACATAGAAAAGGATAGATTGTGGAGTCAGAGCCAGGTGTGGTGGCGCACACCTGTAATCCCAGCACTCAGGAAGCTGAGGCAGGAAGATCATTGCAAGTTTGAGGCCAGCCCGGGCTACAAAGTGAGTTTAAGGCCAGCCTGAGCTGCATAAGAAGACTCTGTCTCAAAAAGACAAAAAAAACAAACAAAAAAAGAGTCAGAAGGTATCTTTAAACATAATGCTTTTTTTTTTAAAAAAAATTTATACTTCAAAACAAAATGGCCAACTGTGAGTGTCAGCATTAGAGCTAACAGCCTGGAATTTATTCGTGTTCACCAAGTGCTGGTATTCTGCAGCAGCAGTCCTCACCACATGGTCCCAGGCCAGAGTCTATAGCATCACCAGGGAATTTGTTAGAAAGGCACCTTCTCTGGGCCCTCCCCAGCCCACTGCATCAGAACCCTGGGTGTAGGGCGTGGCAACATGCATGCTGGCAAGCCATTCAGGGATTCAGGTGCTCATGCGGGATTCAGAACTCCGATTTGCAGCCCCATCTTTCCCCTTACTGAGTTATAGGTCCTCTGAGGATGTGGCTCAGGCTAGCAGCTCTCACCAAGAAAAATGCACAAGCAAAATTCTTGCACACAATCTCGAGGGACGGGGCCCTCGAGAGAAGGCCTCAGCCATTCAAGAGAAGGCCTCAGCCACTCAGGACCTGGGTAGGGAAGGCCCACTCTGACTCTAGACCCATACAACCTTCAAGTTGCAAGTAACACTCAGATCTTTGGATCTGAATTGCACACAGGTCAAGATGTAAATCCTATCTCCTTCACTTCATTGAAAAATCAGCCTGAAAAATTCACACCTGCAAAGCTGTTCGCAAAACTGCCACTGCCTTTGGTTTGACTGATTCCCGGAACACCAGGCTGAGAAGCCACCATCAGGGTGGCATTATGAACTTCTCACAACATCTATTCTAGAAATCAAGAGCCGAAGGGGTGAGAGGAAGCTGGTTCCTTCCACAATTACAGCAAAACAAAGGGAGAAAGGAGTTAAAAGATCTTTACACTGAAAACTACAGTACTCTGAAAAAGGAGGTTGAAGAGGATATCAGAAAAGGGAAAGCTATCCTTTGTTCTTGGGTAGGAAGAACCAACATAGTGAAAATGGCCATACTTCCAAATTGTTAACAGATTTAATGCAATCCTAATCAAAATATCATTAGCATACATCACAGAACTAGAGGAAACAATCCTAAAATTTATTTGGAACCAAAAAAGACATAAAATAGCAAAAGCAATTCTGGGCAACAAAAGCTTTATGAACAAAATCCCAATCACACAAGCACTATCACAAAGAATCAACAACTGGGATCTCATCTTATTAAAAAGGTTTTGCACAGCAAAAGAAATCACCAATATAGTGATAAGATATAGAGTGGGAAAAAGTTTATGCCACCTGCTCTTCAGACAAAGGACTAATATCTAGAACATATAAAGAACCAAAAAACAAAAAAAAACCAGATCCTCCAAATTCAATGACACAATCCAAAAATGAACATTTGAGATAGACATTTCTCAGAAGAAAAAGTACAAATGGCAAATAAATATATGAAGAAATATTCAACATCACTGGTCACTTAAGAAATGCAAACTGAAACTATGCTGAGATTCCATCTCACCCCAGAAAAAATGGATATTATTAAGAAAACAAATAACAGATGCTGGCAGGATGGGGAAAAAGGAACCCTTCTACACCGTTGGTGGGAGTGTAGACTGGTGCAACTACTATGTTAATCAGCATGGAGAACCCTCAAAAAACTAGGATTAGAGGTCCCATTTGACCCAGCTGTTCCCCTTCTGGGTATCTTCCCAGAAGAATTAAAAGCATCATATCGCAGCAATATATGCATATCCATGTTTATAGTGGCATAGTTTGTAATAGCTCAATCTTGCAAGCAACTCAAGTGCCCATCAATCAATGAATGGATAAAAAAGGATGTGGTTTTTCTATATATTTGAGTGTTACTTGGCCATAAAGAAAGATAAAATTGAGACATTTATAGCTAAATGGATGGACCTTGAGACCACAATCCTAAGTGAAATATATACGACACAGGTCTGTAAATATCACATTATCTCTCTTGTATGTGAAATTGAAAATGTAAATAAAATTATAAATGTACGACAGACATTGTGAGATAGGAAGAAACTGTTCAAAAAGAACAGGGAAATAGGGGAAGGAGAAAGGAAGGGAAAGAAAAAATGAAAAAAGAATAAAATAAAAACTGAAGTTTGTGGTCCGGGGGTATAGCTCAGTGGCATAAGTGCTTGCCTGGCAAGTCTGAGGTTGTGAGTTCGATTTCCGGTACCAAAAAAAAGAAAGAAAGAAAGAAAGAAAACTGAGCTTTGTGAACAGGGTTTGAAAAGAGGTGATGTAAATGATGAAAAAAAGGGGGAAACAAGATATATCATGTAAATACAAATTCCCTGCAACGAACATGGTCATTCTATCTAAACTATACCAATAAATTTAAAATTTTTAAAAAGGTGCAGCAACCCACCTTTGTCACTAGGTGGCGGCCAGAGAAACAAACGCTCAGTCTGCTTCCATGCACAGCCTTGTGGGCCCACGAAGTGTTTATAAATATTCTCAGGAAATCTCACATAGAATTCTAGGCACCCAGCCTCTCTTGCTAAGCCCCCCACGCTCTGATTGTCATTGTGCAGTTTGCAGGGTGGCAGTCTCCTGGCACTGACAGCAGGCCCCTGGGACTGGGGCCGGGGCGTCTTGGTCCGCCTCTTTCTCCATCTACCCTACCTGCCCGCCCGCCACCATCCGGGTGGCGGACCCGGTAATCTACGGCCCGCGTGATGCCGGTACATTATGCGGGCTGTGGTCAGACGCTCGTCGATTTGGAGCTGCAAGAGGAAAGGTGAGAACCGATTATATCCAGAGTCCATCAGAAACGTGCATATGCACTTCAGGAAAGGAGAAACTTGTATATATACTTTGCACTACATTTATGACGACATCACGAGGCTAACACAAGTTACCTTTTGCCTCTACAATTACAAGAGGTGTGCAAAGTGGTGGCCATCAGCTTCCAGACATTTATGAGTACAGCAAACTGCTTCTTGGGTAACCTTGGCCGTTGAGATCGCTGCACAGCCATTTCCAGTTTCTTCTGTAAGGGGTGCCAGTGTGCTGGATTTTCTGCAATGTACAACATCCTGTAGGGTCCCCCGTACAAGAGTAACAGAATCTGTTGAAAAAAAATCGTACTATTTTTCTGTTCCTAAATTGTTGTCTTGGTTACTTTTCTCTCATTGCTGGGACAAAATATCTGACACCCAAAATTTAGGAAGGAAAAGTTTATTTAGCTCACAGTTTGTGGAGGTTTCAGTCCATACTTGGCAGGTTACAAGGCAGAGTAGCACATGGCAGAGGGCTACAGCTCATGGCGGCAGAACACAGCAAAAGCAACAACCACTAGAAGGGAGGAATGACTGCAAGCAGCCTCTTCCTCTCCCTTAAATATGCAAACTATCCACCCCAGGGCAGGTGTAGCTCTCACACCCATAATCAATCAAACTCTAAAAGCCTGCCCCATGACCGCATGAGGCTTTGGGGGGACACCCAGACACAAACCATAACAAGTGTGTATAGATTTTCGGTGGACTTTTTTTGTTGTTGTTGAGGCAGTGTTTCACTATGCAATCCAGGCTGGCTTTAAACTCGCTATGTAGCCCAGTCTGGTCTAGAACTTGCAACCTTCCTGCCTCAGCCTTCCAAGTGCTGGGATTATAGGTGTGCACCACCACATCTGGCCACCTATTTTGCTCTAATATTTTCCCCATCAGTCTGATTTCACTGTCTGTGTCCTAGTTTCATTGCCCCTGCTCAAGGCTTGGTAAAATATCTCCCTCCCCCTACTGGGGATTGAACACAAACCTTTGCACTGACCTATATCCCAGTCCTCTAAAAAAAATTTTTTTTGACAGGGTCTAAGTTGCTAAATTGTCCCTGTTTGGCTCAAACTTGCGATCTTCCTACCTCAGGCTCCCGAAGTGCTGAGATTATGTGCCCTCACGCTACAGTTTCCCTGTCATAGGGCGTACTGTGTGTCTCGGGTTAGTTTGAGAATTTCATGACAGCAGAAAACAAAACGATCTTCAGTACTGAAACCCTTAACCCCGTAACTGGGCTCTTCAAAGGAATTCAACAGACAAGGAAAGAAAGCAGGGAGGGAGCTGGGTATTGTCCTCTCTGAGCATGGACCCGGAGGCCCAGCGTCCTTCTCAGCACAGCACTCAAACCAGCCACTCCCAGCCTGGGTCGGAACCCCGCGTGCAAACTTCCTGCCTGGTGTCCGGGCAAGACACTATGAGAGAAGAGACGACCAAGAGGAAACTGCAGCCCTTCCTAAACCCTAAGCTCGCCGGTGTCCCTGTGTCGGGGGAGATGGAAACAGCCTCGGTTTTTTGGCAGGAACCAAACCAGACAGACATGGGCAGAAGGAGGGGCAGCTACTGGGCAAACAGCGCACTGTGTCAGAAAGAAGCCTGGCTGACTTCAGGTCCAGGTCACTGGGACGCCGTTCACTTAGGAATTCGGTGGCGGCATCTAAACAGTGTGTCTGAGTGAAGGTTCCTGAGCGCAAAGCCCCAGACTAGTAGGAGCTCTCCCGCCTCCTGGGGGCTTAACTGCCAACCGCGTGGAGCCTGCAGGGCCTCAGTGGCCTCACGCAGAACACATGGGTGCACACTGCCACCCAGTGGTCGTGACTGGCGACACACGAAGCGTAGGGACCTGGTCGCCGTGTCTGATGAATGGATGCAGGGGAAGATAAAAACTGTAATTATTTCATTTTAGCTTTTCTCTCAGTTAACTGAAACATGCAGTCACGTTATTTTATACAAATACTGCATTAAAAATAGTACTGAAGGAGGAAAGTCAAAAACGTTAAAGATGCCAAACCAGACACTACTGGCTGAGAAAGAATGTGTGAATCGGGAATTCAGCTCAGGCTCCTTGGATGCCATCCAGATGTTCACCCAGCTGGCCACACCAAGTCCCCTCCAGTCAATTACTTCTCTTGATGTTTCTAATCAGCAGTATTATATATGTGATGCTATAAAATTTTATATTTAATATTAGCTCATAAGTCAGGACCCTAAACCAGATGTTTTGGGTGAGAAAGAAATTGATGACTTATCAGGAGATTGAACCCAGGCCGCTGGCTGCTCCCCAGGCGTTCTACCAGCTGAGCTGCACAGCAGAGTGGCTGCTACCAGCTCCCCTTAGTTATGAGAGGAGAGAGAGCGAGCAGAAAATAGATGAACAAAAAACTGAATTTAAGAGAATCTCTTAAGAGTTTCTTACGCTTCTTATAGAACAAGAGCCTGTGCACTATCTTTTAAGTCAGTAATGGTCAGGGGGTTTTTTGAGACAGGGTCTCGTTATGTTGTTCAGGCTGGCCTTGAACTCACTATATAGCCCAGGCTGGCCTTGAACTCATGGTAATCCTCCTGTCCCGGCCTCCCAAGTGCTGGGATTGCACTGCAGGCGTGTGCCACCACACCCGGATGGTCGGGTATTTTCAGTGCTCTGAATTCACCTTCCTCTTCTTCATGACTTTAGGAGGTGGGGGGTGGAGATGGAGCAGAGAAGTAAACTATGTGGCAAAGAGAGGTGGTGGGCAGACGTGACTGATTAGCTGTCACTGGTGAGCTGGGCTAATGTCTTAATATCAACTGACTTTTCCTCTGGATTTATTTTCCTTTGCCTCCCTGCATCAACCAGCTAGGTTCACTCTTGGAGGAACAAGGTAGAGAACAGAGAACAAAGAAGTCTTCTGGATTTGGGTTTCCCAAAACCTAAGCTCTTAGGGAAATAACAACGATAAACTGCTTGGAAAAAACTCACAGAGGAAACAAGGAATTTCAGGCCTTCTCCCATCTCTCTTGGAAAACATCCCACAAACTGTGGAGCTGAAATACTGATGGGGTCCTGTGTCCAACTTCCTAGGTGGGAGTCCCGGGGAGGGAAGAGCTGCATCCGGGCAGATGGAGCCCAGAGATCCCAAAGGAGATAAGCCCTGAAAAGCACTTAGCAGAATGTCTGGTACACAGTAAGTGCTCAATAAATTGCAGCTATTACCGCTTTACTGGATTGCTCAAGTTTCAGAAGCCTTCGGAATGGCCAGTTTCCTGTTGCGGGCAGAGGGATGCATCCTCAGCAAGGACAGCATTCTTCCTCTTTATGCCCTGCTGCTAAACATCAACAGAGCCACATTCAGCTCAGTTGTTTTAAATTAACCAATGTCAACTAACGTATAATGAATAACTTCAAGTGTCAACTTGGCAAGGTCACAGTATCCAGAAGTTTGTCAAACATCATTCTGGATGTCTCTGTGAAAGTAGCTCTGTGTGTGTGTGTGTGTGTGTGTGTGTGTGTGTGTGTGTGTGTAAAGCAGATGACTCTCTGGGACGTGGGTAAGTCTCATCTAATCAGTTAAAGGAACTCCTTGAAAGCAGGCTGAACTTCCCAGAGAGACAGAGTTCCGACAGTAGATAGTCTTTGGACTTGAACTGTGACTCTTCCCTGGTCTCCAATCTGCTAGCCTGCCCTGAAGATACTGGACTTGCCAGGCTATATAATCATGGGAGCCAATTCCTTGAAATAAATACCTGTGTAACAATCTTTGAATGCTATGGGTTCTGTTTCTCTGGATAGCCCTAACTGCAGGAGTCCTCAGAAAAAACTCCAGAAGCTACCTAAGGCTTTGGTAGATGAATAGGGGTTAAGGAACACAGCTCCATCCCTAACAGTGGGGTACAAAGAAAGTCAACACATCACCAGAGCAAATGGGGAACCCCCTGGGATGCAGCCAGTGGGTGCTGGGTGATGGGGTCTGGGGTGCCTATCATCTTGGTCAGCAGGACCTTAGGTCCTACCTCTTCAGGTGCCCCATGCAGCCATTACTTCCTGGGGCCCTGTCACCTGCCAGGGTCTCTGCCCAGGAAAGGGACACAGGTCCACTGATTTCAACTCTTATTTTCCTTTCTTCTCATTCCCTTCCCTGGGCCCAAGAGAATCTCTTCCAAATGTTACGAGAATCATTTTCCTTCGATCTCTTTGACACATTTTCTCCATCCAGAAATTTCTCCCCACCCCCACCCCAAGTCATGGCTTTTGGTACAAAGCAAGCAAAAGTTAAGTGCTATCTTTGCCTTCTTCTCCTGGGATCCCAGCAATCTGGGAGGCTGAGGCAGGAAAACTGCAAGTTCAAGATCATTCT